GGGATCATCATACCACCACCCCCTAGAAAACATTAAAGTGGGGCAGGAGAGATTTCTAAAGGAAAATTGGGGGTGCTCTTATTAAAAGAATGGAAAAGGACTCTGAGGAAGTGAAATCAACAGATATTCTTTGTAGCCAGACTATGGGAAAACAGTCCGAAAGAGTGGAGATGGGCGTTGATACAGTTTAGATGTGCTGATCAAATCTCATGTTGAACTGTAGTCTCCCCTTTGACACTGGGAATACAGTTCAACATGAGATTTGAGGGCTCATGAGGGCAGATCCATCATGAATGGTTTGGGTCAGTGCCTTGGTGATAAGTGATCTCTTGCTCTGAGTTCACACAAGATCTGTTTGTTCAAAACTGTCTGGCACCTCCCCTCCCACTCGCTCTATCTCTGTGGCTCCTGCCTTTGCCATGTGACATGCCTGCTCCCCACTCACTTTCGCCATGATTGTAAGTTTCCTGAGGCCTCACTGGAAGCCAAGAGATGCCAGCACTGTGTTTCCTGTCAAGCCTGTGGAAACATGCACCAACGAAATTTTTCTTTCTTTGTAAATTACCCAGTCTCGGGTATTTCTTTAGAGTGATGCAAGAACAGCCTAACACAGGTGTCAATACATACTACGTAAAAGCAATGAAAATAGTGGTCTTGAACATGGTCTCAAAGCAATCAGTTCAAAAAGAACCTCATTATACCCTTTTATAATTGAAAGTTAAATGTCTGCTGGGACATGATCTCTCCTTTTCTGCGCCTTTGTGTTGTTTGGGCTGCTGGAGAAGAGGGGAGGAAATGGTGAGTTCACGTTGAGTTCCTTTCCATCTGTTTCTAGTGTGTCTTCATGTACTGCCAGGACTAGAAAGCTAAACAAGACATTTCCTAGACTCCCTTGAAGCTAGGGTAATAGATACAAATGAATAATTAGATGTGCTCAGAGATTTGATAGGTAGACGCAAGGAGGAAAGATTCTTTCTGCTGCTTGGGTGCTTTCTGCTGCCAGGCACAATTGCGATATTGGACTTCTCTGCAACAACTTTCCAATGTCTGGTCTCCAGCTTTGCGAGTTTTGAGAGAGGACAACAGAGGCAGCCACTAGATTCCCCTGATTACGTAAGAGGCACCAGCTTCCTGCGTGGAACAGTTCTGCAGTGCTGCTCCGGGAGCCATTTCTGCAGGTCCAGCCCAGAGTCCAATATTCTAGGCCTTCCAATGACATTGAAAGCAGGTAATTTCCTGTATTAAATTGTCTTCTGCTTAAAATCACTAAAGAGTGTCTGTTTACTGGATCCAAACAGAGTTGATAAAAGTCTCGAGAAAAAGTAAAATCTGGTTCTTGCTCAAGGCCTGGATGTTCAAAGGGAGCTGATGTGGGAGCAACTCCTGGTGATGTGGGTAGAGGAACAGCTCATTTGGCTTCCATGTTCCCATGGAAGAAGGGAGCATGTTCCCATGGAGGAAGGAAGCACTACGGCAACTTCTTGAGCTTTTCTCATCAATATGAATGCTCCTCCTTAGAAATCACCAGGGCTCTTCTCTCTGTTCACCCATCAGGAACTATCCCCCTTCTTTGAATTCATTTTCTCAGTGCAAGGCTTTTGCTGTATTCACTTATGCTTTCATTTACAATCCACAGCTATTTACTGAGCATCTACTGGCTACTGGCAGTAGCTATTCTCTTTGTGAACTAACTCATCTCACCACCCCCAACCTCTTGCTCAATACTCCCATGTACATACACACACATATATGCACACTGTACACAACACACAAACTTCTCAATTCCTTCGCCACCCGATCCTTGAAAACCTTGACTGCCACAGCCCAGGTTTTCAGTCCTGGTTTGTGTTCCTGTAATTCCTGAATTTGCCCTATCAAAGCATTTTCTCACACTGTATTGAAATTGCTCATTCACTTCTGTCTCTCATGCTAAATATAGCTGCAGAGACGGCCAAGGCTGTATCTCTTGTTCGCCACTGTAGATTCAAGACCTAGCATAATGCCTGGTATACACATAGCCCAGACATCCAATAAATATTTATTGAATTTATATTCTGGTATTCTAAGGGCTTCCAGGGACTAAATTGTCTGGGCCAAAGCACTTAAGATCAAAGGAAGTGATAGAAACTCCAGATGTTGAGGTAAAATTGAGCCTTGGCAAAAAACTTCTTTCTTTCCTTCCAAATCCCTCATGTTTCAATTCCCCATCCTCATCTCTTTTAGCTTGACAAAAAATAAAATAAAATAAAGAGAGAGAGAGAGGGAGAGGGAAAGGGAAAGAGAGAAGTTTAAACCACGTAGTAGTATTGCATCATAGGATATCATCTTATTGTGAACCCTCTGGCTATTTTTTCTTTTTTTTTTGAGACAAGTTATTGATCTTTTTCAGATTTTGGCTCTGTTCCTTACAGGATATATAACTTTGGAGGAGTTTTTTAACTTGAGACTTTGCTCTCTCACTTGCAAAATGGAAGTGTAGTGAATTAAAGATGGCCACGCAGTCTTTGACACCATTTCCATTTAAAGATGAGATCGATGTTCCTGCCCCTTGATCTTTAATCTGGGTGGGCTCTGTGACCACTTGACCAATAGAACAGAGTAAAAGTGATGCTGTGCTAATTTCCAAGCACAGATCTTAAGAGACTGGCAGCTTCTATTTTGTTTCTTAGACTGCTCCGTGGAAGGGAAGCCTGTCGCCATGCTGTGAGAGAGCCTGAGCTAGTCCCAGCTGTTCCACCCATTCCAGCTGACACGCAGAAACGTTAGCAAAGATACCATCTTGGATGTCCAGCCTACTTTAGCCTTCAGATGATACCAGACTCAGCTGCTCTCTGACTGCAACCTGAGAAACCCTAGGTGAGTACCCCCTAGCTAAGCTTAGTCAACACACAGAACTGCGAGCCACTAAAGATTGGGGCGGTGTACTAAGCAGCAACAGATAACAGCAACTAGAAGTAATGGGAACACCTACCTCACAGGACTGTTAAGACGGTAAAAAGAGATTTTTAAATGCAAAACCCATTGTGTACAACCTAGAAAGAAATAAGCACTTATTATGTATCATCACTTCTCTTGCCTTGTCTCCTTCCACTTTTTAAGTCTATGAATGTTCCAGAAGGAGAAGTAGGTAGAGTGGAGATGGGCTATATGCTAGATGTTTGGAATTTGAATAGGTCTCTTTTCTCCATCTTTCTCTTGCTTCTTTCTTTTGTGTTCTTTAAAGCATAGCCAGATCATTGAGATCTAAAATAAGAATACCAAAGCAAGCTTTTGAGTTGCAGATAGAAAAATCACAGGTTTTGTATGGGCTTATGGTAATAAAATCAAGCCCAAGAAGCTAAAATTATTCAAAGCAAAATTCCCCTTGACAGTTTTTGTCATGTCTATGTGTGTGTGTGTGTGTGTAGAAAGCCGTTAAACAAATACTTTAGCCTACATAATTATTTTGCCATGTAAGCATGATAGAATTGCAGGCTTTTTGGAGGGGAAGGATTTAAAGAACATGGTTACCTGTAATTATAGCCTTGCAAAGTCTGATTTTATAGAAGTGACATTCAAGTCTGATTTAAACCATGCAGAAAGACACGGTGTATATCGGAAATGCTCTTTTTCTTTCTGACTCAAATGGCTGTTTATTTTGTTCTAGTGATCGCCCTAGTAGTCAGCCTTTTATTATGTTTATTGTAAGATTGTGTTTCTTTCTAATCATGTGGCCCATCCTAGAAGACTTGCTACCTTGAGATTACCTTTCTATTTCTCCTTGCAAACACCTAAACCTCTGTAGACAAGAGGTTCATCTCAGAGTCTGAACTGGCTGAGGATCATAAATTTTGTCAAATACCTGGTCAATTAAGTTTAGGTTGGAAGAGGGGGTCAAATGAGATGCCTGACGTGTGGATAAGGACATTGGTTTATTTTATTGCGCATTTTAGCCTTTAATGTGAGTGGGTACACAAAGCCACAGAGTTTGTTGTCATACTCCAGCATTAAAGTCTCTGAGACTAGGTTGAAAGGGGAAAAGGACTTGGATGGGGGATGGGGTGGTTAACTTGCGTCTCTGGTGACATCTTGCCGTCAGTTGCAGCTACAGAATGTTGCTTTCAGGAGGAATTTGGCCTGCCGTTGAAGTGTTTCTCGGATGAGACTGTAAGGGACGGGAGCTTGGGATTTTAGGAGTGCAGGGCTCACATCTTCGTTGGCATCAAGCCACTTTCTAAACTCTTGAGGCGACTTATGACCACGGCCGAAGTGCGGGGCCCCTTCGTCGCAGCTGGGGTGACTGTTTTCTTTCCATTTCACAGCTGTTGGAGGAGGTGTGAGTGAGTGAGACGCTGGAAAGCTTGTTCTATAATTACTTCTTGATCCACTTCTGGGCATGCTGTGCATGCGCCGGACCGTGTGTGTTCGCGTTAGCTTGTGCCCTCGACAAGAGCCAGAGAAAACGTGAGCCTAGGACAAAACGTGGATGGTATTTTTGCTTCAAATGTCACATTTTAGGGAGTCTAAAGATCTTAGGCTGGGGTCTTTGTGGATGATTGCAACTGTAGCCGAATCTATGAGCCGGGATGTGCCCAATCGCTCCAAATTAGAGCATGGGGCACTAAGCCGGGCAGCAAAGGCCGCTCCCGGCCCGCCCCGAGCAGGCGCCCCATGTGGGAGCTGCAGGGAGTGCGCGCGTGGGCAGAGAGGCGCCGGCGGAGGTAGGGGTTCGGAACGGCCCCGCAGCCACAGCATTTGACCCGCGCTTGCGCGGCGGGACCTACCAGGAGCCCGCCATGGGCTGCACCGCCCCGGCCCACCCGCGGGTCCCCTCACCCGCCGCCCCATCTCCCAGAGCCTCACAGGGCTACGCACTGGCCCCGGGCGCCCCCGGGGGCGTCGCGCGCGCGGAGCGGCGCCGGGGGCGGGGCCTCGTGCAGGGCTTCCCGGGATTGGCCGCGGGGAGAGGAGGCGGGGCCGGCCAGGGAGAAAACAGCTCGTGCGCCACCCCGGTGCAGTCCGTCCGGAGTCTGAGCCCTGCGGAGCCCCAGTACCCGACCCCGCCCCTCCCGTACCTGCGCCTATTTATTGTTGTTGTTATTATTATTATTTTTTTACCTGGGGGGGGCCTCGCAGTCGGGTCCTCCCTGCAGCTCCCGCGCAGCGCGAGCCGCCTTCCGCCTTGCAGTCCCTTCCCGCGCTGTGCCCTACGGCCGAGGCGATGCGCCTCATTCAGAACATGTGCACCATCGCCGAGTACCCCGCGCCGGGCAGCGCCGCCGCCGCCGACTGCTGCTTGGGCGCCGCCGGCCGCCGCCTCGTCAAGATCGCCGTGGTGGGCGCCAGCGGCGTGGGCAAGACCGGTGAGTCCTAGCGCTTAGCCCCGGGGCGGGTCGAGGGCAACCCCCGACGGGAGTTGCGGCTGAGCGAGGCGTGGGGAGCGGTGGGAGCTGCAGCCCGACCGCTCGCAGCCTCTCGCCGGGAGCCACTGCCCCTCGGGAGGGGGCTTAGCCGTGGTCGACCCTCCCGCCTGCTTCCACGGAGGAGGGAAACCGGGATCCAGAATGGTCAGGCGGCTTTCCCGGCAGCACCGGCACCGCCGTGATCAGAACTTTGGGGTGTTTGAGCCTCTGGTAGTGCCTGGCACAGAAAGAAGAGTTAGTGAACCTGGCCCCTCTGGGAGGTCTCGAAGGTTAGGAAGACTTGGATCTACGGGAAGGTTTAGGTGTGGCTGAGCGGGGCTCAGAGGAAGGGGTGGGCCCAGTGACCCTTCCAGCTGCACAGAGCCGTAATTCACAAAGCCTTCTAGCCCCCTTCTTTTTGTCTGGAAGAAGGATCAAGGAGCTACAGTGTAGGAATTTCACTTGGTGGCCATCTATGGCTTTCTTTGGGAGAGCTGTTTTCCAGGTTGGGGGTGGGGTGGAGAACAATCTAACTTCCAGTTTAACACTTTTCCTTTCCTTTCCTGACCTGCAGCACTGGTGGTCCGGTTCCTCACCAAACGATTCATCGGTGACTATGAGAGAAATGCAGGTGAGGCGATGCATTTGAGAAAAATTCTGTCCCATTGCAGGAGGGCTGCGGTTCCCATTTTCCAGGCAGGTTCTTTCAGTGACAGTCCCGAGCTTGAGGATCCTGCCACTTACAACTTTCCCCAGTCCTCCAGCCCCCAACCCCCATAACTGCCATCTGGCCTCATTCCATTCCAAGCCCATTCATCATTTTATCAAGTGCCTGAAAGTATTCCCCTTGGTATGTTTTAACTATAGGGACCCCGGTTGGAAGCACCCTTTGTAGTCAAGAACCTCTCCCTTCAAAACACTCCTGCAAAAGTCATAAAAAAAGATGGCCAGCTCCTCCCCCCACCCTCTCCCTCTCTGCTGGCTGCCTTTCAGAGATGACCTTTTAAAGCAAAGGCCGAAGGAGAGCAGTTGTAAACCTAAAGTTCTCCTTTCTTAACAAAGACAAGTAACTGGATGGCAGAATTTTAGGAGAATTCCTGAATAAATGAGAGGACACAGTTTTCAATCCCTGTGATTAAGAATAGCCACTGAGGAGGCTTAAAAGCTTTCTACCCCTATACTCTGTTAGCAAATTGCTTAAATCTATAGACCATATGAGTATCTATGGGGGATTATGTGAAACGAGCTGTATAAGCCATCCCAAGATAAGACATGGCAGCCTTCTGCTTCGATGTAGAGCTGATTATCATCATGTCACATTTTTATTCCGACTGATAACGTTGGCTGAGTGTTTACTAACAGTATTTGTCTAGCAAGTCATTATATCGAACGGTCAAAATATAAAGTTATAGTCAAAGAATGATCAAGTACTCAAGAAAACAGAAACCTCACATAGGCAGAGCAAGATAATTTGCATCAAGGGAGTACTCTAAAAAATGGAAACTTTGTTTAAAATTAGATAAATAAGTTTTCAAAACCTTGCAAACTCTGCCCTGGTTTTAGTAAATCTAACATAGGGTTGAACTTGCTGTTGTTTAAAAAAAAAAAATATGAAGCCCACTAAATAGAAATAAACTATAGCTTCCAAGTGTACATTTTTGTGTTGTGCATTTTTTTTCTAACTTAAAAAACTCACAATGTTTTAAAAGTTTTACAAGAAGGAAGCACATAGTCTTTTGTCTTTGCCTTCATAGGTAATCTCTATACCAGACAAGTTCAAATAGAGGGTGAAACCCTGGCTATTCAGGTTCAAGACACTCCAGGTATTCAGGTGAGAAGCTCTGAGACTCTGGGTGAAAGGGGGGCCTACCCGGCTGTGGAATCATTCACTTTTTCTCAAAGTCCCTCACCCTGCAGGAGCAGAGAAACTTGGGCATCACATCTAGACTTTTACACGTTGTTTGACAACTCAATTGTATCTGGCTGTTGGTCAATCTTAGCATGGTTTAGTTTGGGAGATTTGGCTAAGGGGCAGAAATCTTCCTTTAGAAGGATTCAACACAGCCAGAAAGCCCAAACCAGATGCAGTTGGAATTGGCGTTTTCCTTGCTGTGGTTAAAAAGTTCAATTTTAATAGATGTGTCTTTGGCATGAAAAACCAAGCTCCTGGGTATAGTCTGCAAATACTTGGAATCTCTTTTATACTGTGGAAAGTTGCTCTATAGACAAAAGCTCCATGTTAGGGTTTTTTCCCCGCCTCCTGAACTGGGCAGTTATCCAGGTTTAAATGCTTCCAGCTCCTATCTTTACTTCCCCAGACTTACTGTCTAGCCAGTTAATTTCCCATTTTGTGAAACTACAAAGTCTCTCTGCATGGAGTTCTCTGCAGGTCAATTTTCCACTTGAGTGTGGCGAGCTGCACTGTTATTTATTCCAACTCTGTGCAGCTGGATCAACATATTGTCAAGAAAGCCAAAGTGTGTGGGATAGAACTTGTTTATGGCCCGCAACCTGGCATTACCATGAAGGGCTCTTTTGAATTTGATATCCACCTAAGCCCAGGCTCTTTGCAGCACTGGCCAGCATTCACCTTGCCATCACCCCTCTCTTTCAGGTCCATGAGAACAGCCTGAGCTGCAGCGAACAGCTGAATAGGTGCATTCGTTGGGCAGATGCTGTGGTGATCGTTTTCTCCATCACTGACTACAAGAGCTATGAACTCATCAGCCAGCTCCACCAGCACGTGCAGCAGCTACACCTGGGTACCCGGCTACCTGTGGTGGTCGTGGCCAACAAAGCTGACCTGTTGCACATCAAACAGGTTGACCCTCAACTTGGACTGCAGCTGGCCGGCATGCTAGGCTGCTCATTCTATGAAGTGTCCGTCAGTGAAAATTATAATGATGTCTACAGCGCCTTCCATGTCCTCTGCAAAGAGGTCAGTCACAAACAGCAGCCTAGCAGCACACCAGAGAAGCGAAGAACCTCCCTCATTCCCAGGCCCAAGTCACCCAACATGCAGGACCTGAAGAGGAGGTTTAAGCAAGCTCTCTCTGCCAAAGTGAGGACTGTCACCTCCGTCTGAAGCAGGAGAGCACTCAGGGGGGTTTGGTCTTCCCAGGAAGAGGCCCTGAGGTTCTCCCAGTGCAGCAACATTGAATATTGGCGGTGATTCCTGGTTCCAGAAAGGGCTGGAGCAGGGGACCAAGAGGGCCTATAGAACTGCTACAGAAAATGAAGTGTTGTTCTGAGCAGGGGGGCAGGATTGATGAGGCTTGAGGGAACCCACCAAGCCACTCTCTGAATATGTGAAATGTATCTGTGTCTTTTCCTTTGGAGTGGGGAGGAGGCATAATTACTTTGGTTTCTGCTTTCAACTACCTTGTAAATGGTGGTCCGTTGCAGTTTCACCAAATGTATTAATGTGATTTACGGTGGAAATGAAAGAAACAGATGAAGCATTGATAGGGTTTCTCACCCCCCCCCGGCTTTTTTCCCCTTTTTTCTCTTTCTTTTCCTTTTTTCTCCCCCAAGAGCAAGAATTACCTTTCTCTTACCAGTATGATTTGTAGCTCTGGAACACTATTCTTACAGAATGCCTTTCTAACCTGAAGGATACCCAGATTTCTTTCTTTAGTAACAAGATGGAAAATCTGCCCCTCAGAAAAGGGTCAAGTTTATGGGCCAGAATATTCTGTGTACCAGACATCAGTAAGCCGGCATGGGTTGCAGGAGAGATGGTTCCCTCTCACAGGATGAGCATGCTCACTTGGGTGTGTGTCGAGTGGCTGTGAACGTCATACTCTTCAGGCTTTGTATAGCGTTTTTTGTTTTTAACTGTTCCATCAGGAAAAAAATGTGTTCATTGACTTTGGTGTGACTTGTGTAAATGGTTCATGGCAATGACGTTGGGTTGCTTCCTGGGCCTGGCTGAGTCGTACCGAAGGGTGGCTGAAATACAAAAACACTCTCTTACAGCAAGTGAACACATGCAGCGGCTACCTGCCAGATCCCCTCTACAGATGCACTTTAAAAAGCCACTCATGCTTTGGCTTAAACTGTAATTAATTTATTTTATGTACAATAAATCTCATTTTCAAAAGAGCAGACGTCTGATCTTGATCTCTATTGAAATGTTAGCCTTCTGCCCTTTAGACAAAGTATGGCCTGGTATCCTGTGATTACTGGGCACGTTGAATCTGGCATTGTGCCTTCCAGGGGTTATCTCTCAAGGCTCACAACAATCCAAGGAGGTGCATTCTAGTATTATCCCCATTATATAGATGAGGAAACAGGCTTGTAGAACAAGATCAGTAATTTATCAAAGGCCACAGCCTGTGAGCCTTGTAATTTGCTGCTTTATATTCCAGAGTAGCTTATTTCCTCTTTACTAACTTCATGGTCTCCCAGGTATAACTAAGACAGATGTCTGGCTCCACATACTCAGCATGGCCTCGAGGGTATTCATGCTTGGACACTAAGATGACTAAGACACATGCATTGTTTGGGAGACCTCTTCTTTGGGTATGCTGCTTTCAGGAGATGCACTTTATTCTCACTGTAGAAGTTTGCAGTCACGGATCTGGGCTGTGAAATCAGGAACCAGTCCCATGGCGCTTTGCCACACGTGTCTCACTAATGCTGCCAGCTCTCTTGTCAGTGCTACCTGGGCCTGGAAGATCTTTCCTGAAATCTAAGTGAGCCACCATCTACAGGGGAAAATGATCACAGCTGACATTTCTTTGAGTAGTGCTTTCACATACCTGATCTCACGTACGTTCCGAGAATCCAGGAGAATACTGTGGGGTATTGACACCATTTTACAGATGAAGAAGACAGGCTCTAACTTTTGAGTGATGTCTTCAAGCTCACACAAAGGAGCTAAATCAGTGCCACCTGCCTATATTTACTGTTCTGTAGTCCTTTATATAGTCCTTTAGAGCATTTCATAGGTAAGACCGCTGCAATGTGGGGTGATGGGGCCACTGTGAGCAGCAGGTGAGGGCTATAGCAGTGTTCCCACAGGGTACAGATCCTGATGGCTGACAGAGCTTCCAAGGATGCCCCAACCCTTCCTAATATGCAAGGTAACTTTGTATACTTTCAGCCTAACCTCATCTCTGAGAAGGGTGTGTGTGTTGGGGGTAGGCAGGGAAATGGAACTAACATGGGACTAATAACATGGCAAAGTATCTCCAACTGGATTCTATTCACTTTTATTTCTATTCAGCCTACATGGTTGTGTTAACAACGTCCAGTGAGCGAGAGGTTGATCTTTATATACTTACTGAAGGTTCTTTCCCCATGTTCTGGGATTAAATAAGTTTTCCTGTGGGTGGCTTTATGCTCCAGTTTGGTGATCACTGCCACCGCCCCCTTTCCTTCTAAGGCTTCCAGGCTGCACGGCTCTGGCAGGCCTTGTCTGCAACCTTGCTGAGCTGTGAGCTCCACCCTGCCTTCTCCCTTCCAGGCCCCCGCACTAGTGATTGCCCCTCACTTCCTCACCCCTGCACTGGACTCAGTCTCTCCTACTGCACCTAAGACAGGTTGGAAAGGGGATCAGAGCTCTGGTCCACCCAGAGGGATAAAGTGGCTTGTGCAAGGCCATGCTAGGAGAAGAGGGTGAGAGAGAGACAGAGACAGAGAGAGACACACACAGAGGGACAGAGAGTTGCAGCTGGAAATCACTCAAGTTCCTGTTCTGTCCTCTCTCAGGCACACTTGTCTATTGATAGTTCTGGAAGACATTTTTCTCTCTTCTAATAAATCTAGCTTTATGTTTTATTACTTTTGTTCATCTCTTTCCTTGTTGGTTCACTCTTCACTGAATCCCTGTTTCTGTTTCTTTTGTTTTAAAATTTATGATCTACCACCTGCTGGCCCTGAGACAGGACCCTCTCCACCTAGGTAGGGGAATACCTCCTTTGCCAAATGGGAAAGGGAAGGCAGGGTTGTGTATGTGTCTGGGGTACAGGGGCGCAGAGAAAGGGAAGGAGTTAGAATTTACTGAACATTTACAACATGCCAGATTCTATGTTATCCCTGTTCATCTTTTGGAGAATCCTGTGGGGAAGGGTAATAATATTGCTTCCATTTTAAAGATGTAGAAACTGAGGCATGGAGAAATTAAATTTACCTGCTTAAGGCCATGTTGGTTATAACAATTACTGTTGCTATTTATGGTAAATCTGTGTGCCAGACCCCACAGGAGGATGTCTGAAATAATCGGTGTTTGTCGTGATATCTTCATAATCCATCTTTAGATTCCTCTTTGGAAAAGCAAAAGAAAGGCTGAGAAGGAATAAGTGGCTGGCCCAGGCCCTAGGTGGTTGATCCAGGACTCAACTCCACTCCAGGTCCGTCTGATGCCTAAGCGCTGGGTTGATGGCTCAGCAGAGCCCCACCTCAGAGCCCTCTTTTTCCCTCCCCTGGCCAGGTCTCCTGTCTTGCTGTTCTCATCTCCCCTTTGCTGCCGTGGACTCCTGGCTCCTGCCGGGCTCCAGGCCCCCCTGGCTGCCACAACACATCTGCTGTTGCCATCAGCCAGCTGCTCACTGGCCTCCAGCCCCGCTCAGAAGTCCAGGCTGGGAGCAGAAGGGGCGTGCAGCCCGGCTGTCTCAGAACCTAGCCCACTTCTGTCATGATGTCTGCCTTTGAGTTTCCTCCCTTGCCTCAAATCAAAAACATCTGCAACACTCTGCAGCCTGCCTGGCGCTGCGTGGTGTGCAGAGATGGCTCAACCCTCAGAGTCTTCCTGGCTGCTCCTGGCTCCAGCACTCACCAGGCGCCACAGATCTGGGTTCCCCTGCCCAGCTAGCTCTTAACCCCAGGTGTAGGAGCCATGGGTGGATTTATGGTAAGCTCCTCACTTTGGTGAAAAATGAGATTTTGACATTCATCTTATACTCTAAGAGTGAGAAAACAAATGTGTTTTCTGGACAAATGAACAAGCTTGTAGGCAAGTCCCTCAAAAATGAGCAGCTGATAATGTCTGGAGCTACCTCTGCACCCAGGGGAAAAGGGCACTGTCTTTGTGGGTAACTCAAGACAGGTCCCTTGGGGATGTCCCAGGAGAAATTAGAGAACTTGTCTGGTTATAATAACTAATCCAGGAAAACTGGTGTTGCACATATTCCCTTTCAAGTCTAAAGAGAGATGGTTCCGGAAAGTTTTTACTATCCTCCTTACTCTCCTGACTTTGAGATGAGAACAGGATTAGGGTTGTTACTGATTGTGGCAAGATCCCAGCCACCACCCTCCAAGCTTCCCTCTCAAATAGTTTGCAGACCCTCCATCATCCGGTTTTGTGTTTTTAAATTCCTAAGACAGAGATGGAGTCTCTCGATGTTTCTTGGGCTGGACAGCAGACTTCTATAATACTGGATTATTTGCTGTTGAGATTCTGTTTCTGGTAACCAGGGTAAAATAAATAATATCGACCTTGGAGGGAGTTCGATGGAATTCTTTGTTATTGGGATCCCATTGTAATGGAGGGGTGGCATAGACAGAGCCATCTGTATAGGCCCTGGCCCGCTGGGGACCGCTCTTGGCTGATGTAGCCTGGAGTGCTTCCAAGCACTTGGCCATGCCCGCTATGTCTGCCCTGAGGTTGACTCCAGAAGAGGGTTTACAAAGGCAGAAGTCAATTGCTACAAAGTATTTACACTTCTATCAGTTGTGTTTATAAGGAGTGTGGCCCGTGAGGTCTCTGGCAGAGGGTTTGCATTTGTATGCGCTTTGCTTGTTTAGGTGATACACACTCTGACCCAGGCCCCAGACAGGGGAAACCAGTCCTACCACTCAGCTCAGCCTTTTAAGTCACCTTCAGGTGGCTGACAGCTGCTGGATCCCTGTAGAATGAATACATTTGGAGAGGTGGAAATGGGAAATCAGCAAATCCGTTTCAGATTCTGCATGACTTTGTGGTTAACATTAGTGATGGAGAAAGTTCTATGAGAGACATACAGCCCTGCATGAGCAATCATCAGACACTTATTACTGATAAATTCTTATGTCCTCTGAATGAGCTTACCAAGTGCCATGTTCCAGATGCATTACACGTATTAACTCTTTTAATTCTCCCCAAGCCCAAGGTGTCAGGTCCTATTGTTATCCAACTGCATGATCGGTGAAGACCAGGAGAGGTGGACTACGAAGTGGAAGAGGTGGGATTGGAATCCAGCCAGTGGACTGGGCTCCTGACCTCTGGGCTATGCTATCTTGCATCTATGTTGACCCAAGGTGTTATTCCTTCTCCAATTTCTCATCTCCTTGTGGACCCCAGGAGTGCCTCCAAATTTCCTCCTCATTTAGTATTATTCTCCTGTTGATGTTTTATCATTTTGCGAGATAGCTTTCTTGGTCTCCTCAGTGTGAAAACCCACATTCCTTTAGAGTCACGTGCTGGCCACTGTGTTAGGAATGGCTCCATAGCAATCCTCCCATGAGGTAGGTGCCACAGTTATCATCTCTTACAGACACAGACATTGAAGCTTGGAGAGATCCACAGTGCTTGGAGGGGCAGAACTGGGACTCAGGCCCAGAGAAGACTTCAGAGCCCTGTCCTGCCTGCTCCTCCTTCCTGGGGGTAGAAGGCGTGACTTGTTTCTCCTCCAGCCCTTCCCATGCTAAGAAGTGTGCACGAGAGCAGGGCAGCAGCAGGGAGATTCTGGGAGACTCTGTCATGGTGAGAATCCTCCTTCTCCCAAGCTCCCCTCTTTTTCCTTATTTGTTGGAGGCCCTTTGTAGGGTTTATACTACATGTCTATTATGTTCCTGGTTTTTAATCAAGGAGCAGTGTACGTCCTGTGCCTCCTGCTTCATCTTAACCCAAACTCTGGTCACCAAAAAATTCTTCCAGCTCACTTTTCCTCCAAAGCCATCCACCACTTGACCTCCTGCCTGGCTCAGCTCCCCCAGCCAGCGTCCAGAGAAGAAAAAGACGACCATAAGCCAAACTTCTGACACTTCTCACACACTCACAGACTGCCTCTGACCATACTAATTACAGTATGGGGAGCATTTTCAAGACATAAGAACTGCTGAGTAACATTTAAAATCAATACCTTCCCCCTTTTATCATTTCAGATTAGAAGCTTTTGAATATATTTTTTAAACAAAAAATTAATTTATAAAAATACAGTTTTCTGCTATGGTCAATTAAAGTTGCAAAAGTAATATACAAATACACATTTGCTCAAAAAATAATAATAATACAGAAGTATACTGAGGGTGACACTCTTCCTTCTCTTAGCCCTCCCATTTGAGGTAATAACCATTATATATGTATTTCCAGAAAGTTTCCTTGGCATGTAGGCATGTGGTTTACAGCTTAGCCTTCAACATATGCTCACGTTGGGCCTGAGCAACAGAGAAGCGCCAGCTACTCATTCTGAGTAGGAACAGAGTCAGGAACGAGTCTTGTTCATTCACCCCAGTGGCCCAGAACCTAGCACAGCATCTGGAACACAGCGGGTGGTCAGTCAATCTTTAGGAATGAATGAATGAAGGGGTACAGATTTGAGTCACAGAATGGGTTACTTTCCATTTTTTTATTTTAGAAAAGAATAATCTCTGCTTGAACATTTCTAATGAATGTTTACCATTTCCTTTCTTATTCAAATTCAATACTTTAAGATTAGTAGAATGAGAAAAGCACCTGAGGTCTCCTCTTGAAAGAACTGATATTGTGTGGAAAACATACTTAGGCAAGAAAAAGCGTGTCTGTGTCTGCAAACATCCTGCTTTGCTTACATCTCAAAACAGTCTCCAACTTCACAGTTCTTTCAGAAAATGACAGTGTTTTGTAGAGAGCTAAAATCAGACACATGTGAGTGTTTGGTTTACATTTTATTTTCTCTACCTGTTTAATCCACAATAAAAACCTTTTCAGTTTTATCTCGTTATTACCAACATGGATCCCAGAAACTTCCATCGACCATATAGCTACAAATGTGTGAGTTGCAAGCGGTTCATTTTTCTCCTGGAGTTCTTATGTAACTTCACTAGGTGGGTCTATGTTTTTCTGCTATGCTCAGATGGAAAACTTACACTTACAGAAAAGAAAGCTTTATATTTCAATAGAAATTCATACCCGCAAAGTCCACAGGGGTTGCTGTTACAATTCAGACTCCCTGGGACCAGATAGCTTGTGTTGGGGCCTTTCTTTGGAGGGGAGGAAACCTTTTATACACAGATAGCCCTCGAATCAATCTCCTTCCCATTCCAGTTCTAAGTAGCCTGGCAGACCTGCCCAGTGGGCCAGCTGGAACAATGCCGTCCTTTGTTATGGCAGGATAATTTGCAACACACGCAGGCTACCAGCACTGTCCCAGACACTACCCCTCCCTTCTTTGCCTTTTCAGAAACGTTTCAGAGCAAGAGAGAAACAAAGCCTCAGACCCTATTTGCAATGTTACCTTCTCAGCTATATAATCCTAAGGAACACCAAACTTTCCTCACACTCATAATTCGAAAGCATGTCTAACTTCTCGAGCAACTTCAAATTAAAAGAGTTGTAATGGACCAACACGTGCCAACAGCCTTTTATTTAGAATTAATGAACTTGTAGGTGGAATCAGGAAGATCACAGAGGGTTAAGGATAAATGGAAATGATCACGAATTAGACTAGCTGAAAGACAGATTGTCACCTTCAGGAAAATTTAAAAAACCTTTTTTTTTTTTTTTTAAGAACGACAGCAATCCAAGCAAAGTACCTCGCTGTGTAGGTATCAGGACCCTTTAGGCAGAATTCGGTCATACTCGCAATCAGTGACAGGGACGCTGGTTGTGGAGGAGTACTTGGAATGGTGGCAGAAAACTGTATTGGCATTTCCAGCTTGAGTAGGTCTTATCTTCTAAGTGGATGCTCAGAAGCCAAGGTCTGGATGCAGTCGGTCAGTTGCAAATAACAGCTCAGGAATGTTAAGTGGCTTCAGGAGTCGTGTGGACAGCACGATTACCTAACAATAGGAGAGGGCAAACACACCACAGGCAATTACAGGGGCCAATCTCAGGGTATTGGATGATGAGAAACAGAATGTAACAAATGTCTTGGGGTAGGGCATGGAGTTCTGTGGAGGAAAGGTAGAAGGCAGCCAGTTGAATGGCAGGATCTGGTGCTAGTGCCCTGCCTGGAAGGAGGGGGGCACAGTCTGGGAGAGATGGCCTGTGGGACAGCTGGCCTGTGTCTACTGAACCTTTAGCCAATGGGCCACTCAGGATGACTGAGACTGGCACTAGGTGCATTCGAGAGGCAGAGCCCAGCCACTACCATGCTGTTAAATTGAACTGACTCATACTCTCTCTTTGTAATACAGTAATTTGACCTCAATATCAAGGTTTCTTTCCCTTTCAGGGAGCCTTTGCTCCTCCAGGGAGCATGAGAAGGCACAGCCAAGAGGTGGATGCCGTTAGTGACGATGGTAATTGTTAGTTTCCTAGTGCCACAAATGGGTGGCTTCAACCATGGAAACTTACTGTCTCATAGTTCTGGAGGTTACAAGTCCAGGATAGGGTTGGCACCTTCCAAGGGCTGTGAGGGAGGATCTGTCCGTGCCTTTGTCCTAGCTACCCTGAGTCTTCACATTGTCTCTCCCTATGCATGTCTGCTGCTGTGTCCAAATTTCCCCTTCTTGACACACTCAGTCATACTGGATTACAGCCCACATTAAAGACTCCATTTTAACTTGATCATCTGCAAAGATCCTATTTCCAAGTAAGGTCATATTCACAGGTACCAGTGGGGAAGTTAGGACTGCAACATAGTTTAAAGGGGACACACTTCAACCATAACAATGATGATGATAACTAATACTTGTTAATTTTTCTGATGTGCCAGGTTCTTAGGATTATCTCATTTAATATCCATTTGATCCTGATATCAAGCTTATGAAATAGGGACATTTATTCTTCCTGCTTTGCAGATGAAGAAAACAAAGTACAGAAAGGCTCAGCAACCTGTACAAAAACACACATACAGTCAGCAGCTGTGCCAGGATCAAAGCGCAGGCAGGCTGGCCCCGGCGCCCCCGTGCCTCCCTTCCCTGCATCAAGGGCCCTGGGCCCTTTCCTCCCTTACTCCACATGCACCTTTGGGCTCCTCTGGCTTCTTTCATGGTGACCCTTTCTGCTTCCCTCAGTCTGGATTTTATTCTGTGGCAGATTTGTCTCTGAAACACTGGGAGAGCCTGTTCCCTGGGTCTGGGCAGGGGGGATGATGTGCTTTGTAAGGGCCTGGGGAGGTTTTGCACAAGGAGTATTGTATGCACCCTAGATGAAGAGGTGACTCTGGGAAAGGCTACCCTGGAGGCTGAATGCCACAGCCCACAATCCCTTGGAAGGGGATTCCAAGGCCCACAGTGTGTCTACCTGGCGGCTCCTCTGGAGTGGTGCAAGTGGGCCCGCACACTTCACTATCCTCCTTGCCTGCCCCCAAAATTGTCCCAGGTATAATCAAATTAGTGAATTAACCAATCCCATGTCAACAAGCTCATTGGTGGAAAACAAAAGTCTATACTCCAATGAAGAGAAAATGTAGAAGGAGAGGAGAGAAGGAAGTATTTTATAGCTTTGTTCTTCTTGTTAAAGAAACAATTTTTTCAACAACTTTAAGAGAAAGTTTTCTGTTTAAAAATTTAGTCTTTGGAAGCATCTATGTTACTTCTTGAAAGAGGATTATCTTAAATATATATATATATATAGTTAATGTCAGCCAATTCATATTTTTGGCAGAAATAAATTCTCTGAAATCTTGTGTTTCACGATTTTCCTTGAAAACCATGCAAGGAGACTTTGAGGACAGTGGGTGAAGAGTGGCTGCTTTATCATCTGCACACATGGTTTAGACACCATTCCATGTGTGTCTCCTGACAGGGTCTCTACTTATTTCAGGTCTTCCTCACCAAACCCAGTAGGTGATTGAGCCTGGCGGCTCCCAGGCCAGTGTCATCGGCAGACCCTGAGTAGATCCCAGCTCCACAGTGACAAGCCAGATGCCCTCCAGAAAGTCACAACTCACAGCCTCACTCACCTCATCATGTCTCTCAGAAAGAAAATAACAGTGCCAAGCTTGAAGCAGTATGGCAAGGATGACATGAGATCGTGTATGTGGAGCACAGGAAGTGCTCAGCAACTCTGAGCTGCTATTTTATTGTGGTTTTGCAATTCAGTCATAAACCTCCTTTTGAATCTTATGAAAGCTAAGAACTTTCTAGAAAAATATACACAGACATTCATACAAGATTTTGTATTATAGTTTTGGGGATGGTTCATGAACTCCTAGGAATTCATAGACCACAATTAAGAAGGCCTTTTTCAAGCTGGGTGCAGTGACTCATGCTTGTAATCCCAGTGCTTTGGGAGGCTGATTCGGGCAAATCACCTGAGGTCAGGAGTTCAAGACCAGCCTGGTCAACATGGATGAAACCCCATCTCTATAAAAATACAAAAAGTAGCTGGCTGTGGTGACGCACACCTGTAGTCGCAGCTATTTGGGAGGCTGAGGCAGAGAATCGCTTGAACTCAAGAGGTGGAGGTTGTAGTGAGCCAAGATTGTACCACTGCACTCCAGCCTGGGCAACAGAGTGAAACTCTATCTCCGAAAAAAAAAAAAAAAAAAAAAAAAGGAGCCTCTTTTCAGAAATCTTTTTAAATACACACATAAAGACAAACATGGAGCAGCACTCTTGGAAGCAGGTTCTTCAAAGGTGGTAGAGGCCAGCAGTCATTCATGCAAAAGGCCCTCTCCGCCTGCTGTGACTTGCCAGTCTCCAGCACACTGCCAGCCTTTGGGGTCTCTAATTCTAAAGCAAAGATGATGGATTCCTCTCTGGCTGCGGTGAGGTGTGCCTGAGGGCTAGGGTATGTCTCCATCCCCATGGATGCTAAGTCTTGTTGGCAGGTTTGAGGAACTCGGAGTGAAAAGTCTAGAAGTGTTGACTTCCAGAGCAGCAATAACTGAGCCCAAAGAATCTGTCACTCTCGGGTCATGTGCTGGGCTTCCAGCCATGGCTGACAGAGACTGTGGATTTGGCTACCGCCATTGAGCTGGAACAGCAAGGCCAGAGCTGAATCCGCAAGGTCCTCACACCTGAACAAGCAGATATTTAACAGTAATCACCCTACAGCTTCATGAGGGCTTGGCCAGAGGCTGTCTGGGGCCTGCTCTATGGAGGGGTGAAAAGAAACAGATGGAAAAGAGGGGCTTTTCAAACAGTAGGTTAGGGGGCCTTTGTGGAGGGGAGGCAGCAGGGCTGAGGCCAGGAGGCTTTGGGATAGTGGTTAAGAGCCCAAGTTTAGGAGGGTCCAGTCTGTGTTGGACCCCAGCTGGGCCACTTACCAGACGAATGACCCTGGAGAAGTTGCTTAATCACACTCAGCCTCAACTTCTTCATCTGTAAAGTGGGAATGATACCCACCTCACATGATTATGTGAGAAGCAAATGTGGACATCTTTGTAAAATATCTGACACAATGACAGGCTCCAGAAGGGCTGAAAATGGCAGCTGTCATGACTGCCTTCATCATCGTCACTGTCCTCATTATGCACATCCCCGGCTGCAGCCTCCCAGCCAGCTCACAGCAGTCATGGGTCGGATGCAGGGGAGGTGGAGTTGCCAGAGCCAGTGACCCCAAGTGTGAATCTGATTGTATTACACACAGGCTTAAAATCCCAGCCTCCTCCTCTCTGCCGTCTAAGACCAGTCCTCCTGGAGATCATCACAGGACTTCAGAACCCGACTGCCACCAGCACTCCACACCTGGCCCTTGCCTCTACACCCCAAATCAGTCCCTCATTCCAGCCTCCCTAACTCCTTGCAATTTCGCACCTGGTACTTTGGGGACGATTCTTTGTCTGGAACAGGAGCTTCCCACTCTGCCCAAAGAGCCCTTCTCCATTGTCCTCCAACAATCAGCTCAGCCGTCACCTGCTCCAGAAAGCCTTCCCAGACCACCCCTCCCCCAAGCCTGATCGTGTCCCCCTTGCTGTTGGCATCTCGCTGTATTCCCTGTCACCTTAACTGAGTCTTTGTTTCTTAGCACAGTGCCTGATACACAGCAGTTCTTTGATTCAGTTAGTCCCTGATTGAGTGAATAAAAACCATATAGCAGTGAAGGAGGCAGGGAGCATAGCCAGGGTCAGTGGGAGGTTCTCGCTCACGGCAGCTCTAGTGGAAAATGCTCAGACAGCTCTGGGTAAATGCGCTTCCTTTCCATTTGACAAAAAACCTACTTGTCTCTAATTCCTATTATGAAGAGCAAGCAGGATCATACTGCTGACATTTCACATAGAGCATGAAATATACTAGTTGGTGGACTTTAAGTATTTTCATATCTTAGGCATCTTTTGATATTGACTACTTTTGAGCATTTTCAGAATTTTTAAAGTGCTACATTATTTGGCTGAGATCACCCTAAAATTCTAAAAAGTGGGCCCCAAATGGGAACAAAGATGCCCAAAATGAAAAGGAAAACAGTCAAAAGAGTTTGAAATTGGGTGATCAGCTATGACATTTAACTTTTAACAAGATCATGAAACGTGGGCAAATTAAGCATTAGCGAGTTCCTTTTGGAGAACTGGTCTTAGACAGCCAAGGGCACTGAAGAACATTCCCATGGAATACTCTCGATCCTTGTCCATCATATGGCTACTTTTCTCTGCATCTTCTAAAATGCTTCTTTTAATTTTCTGTATTAGAAATCAGAGGTACATAGAACCTAAACCTGGTGCTCCCCGATTCCTCTCCCTCTCCCCTTTTCAGGGTTCCTGCCCTTTCTTCTTTTCCTCCTTCTCCTTTCCCTCCCTCTCTTTCCTCCTGTTCTTTTTTGGGGGTTGTTTTTGTTATTTCTTCTCAACTCAGGCCTGAGTGTCATTCAGGGCTGAGGAGTCAGCTGACTTTACCCCTGACCCATCGACTCTTAGCCACCACACCTTCACCTGCTAATAGCGAAGCAGGCCGAC